GAAAGAAAGAAAGAAAGAAAGAAAGAAAGAAAGAAAGAAAGAAAGAAGGAAAGAAAGAAAGAAAGAAAGAAAGAAAGAAAGAAAGAAAGAGAGAAAGAAAGAAAGAAAAGAAAAGAATAAAATGATCGACCCTTAAGCAGATAGCAGTCTAGTAAAGGAGACAAAAATCTATTAAGGCAAGGAAGAAAGGTTTTCTCTTTTCTGGCATTCTTATTCTTTACCTTCCCTCATCATGATCCCAGAAAAGATAAGTTGTTTAGATTGTTCAAATCTGAAATACTAATTGGCCTGTGGTCCTCGCTGAACAAGGTTACATACACTGTGTATGCACAGAATATGGTTTTCTGTTTTATCTCTCCCTTCCTTAGAGCTAAAGATTAAAGGGCTAAGATTCACTTGTTTCAGTCTCCTATTATATAAAGCATAACAAACTACCCCTAAATTTAGTAACTTTAAAAATGCTATTTTAGCCAGGCACAGTGGATCCTGCCTGTAAAATTGGGAGGCTGAGGCAGGTGGATTGCCTGAGCTCAGGCATTTGAGATCAGCCTGGGCAACATGGTGAAACCGAGTCTCTACAAAAAATGAAAAAATTAGCCAGGCATGATGGCACACACCTATAGTTCTAGCTACTCAGGGAGCTAACGTGAGAGAATCGCTTGAGCACAGGAGCCAGAAGCTACAGTGAGCCCTGTTGGCTACATTGCACTTCAGTCTAGGTGACAGAGTGAGATCCTGTTTCAAAACAAACAAACAAACAAACAAACAAAACCCTATTTGCTCACTGTTCTTCAGGTCCACAATTTGGTCTTGACAGTGGTCTCCCTTGGGGTCACTCATGTAACTTTATCTACCTGGTGGTTTAATTGGGACTGAATGTCTAAGGTGGCCTCATTCATAAATCTACAGATGATTGGTGTCAGCTGTGAATTGGACCATGTATCTGTGGCAGTCCTGCCTAGGGCTTTTCATATGACAGCAGCATTCAAGAGAATGAGAGCAGAATCTGCAAGTTCTCCTGAGAACTCATCTTGGAACTCCCTAATCGCTTTCTGCTTCGTTCTATTAGTCAAAGCAGAAAATAAGGCCAGTCTACATTCAGAAAATGTGAAAGAAACTTCAGCTGTTGATAGCAGGGGATACAAATAATTTGAACCCATTTTTAACCCATCATATCACTGTTTAATAATAATGTTACAAATTGAATGTTTCTGTACCCTCAAAATTCATGTTAAAATCTAATTTCCAGTGTGATGATATTTGGAGGTGGCACTCTTGAAAGGTGATTAGGTTATGGGGTGAAGTCTCCATGAATGAGATTAGTGGCCTTATCAGCAGAAGACAGAGTGCTAGCTCACCATCTTTCTACCATGTAAGGATGCAAGGAGAAATCAGCTGTGTGCAACATGGAAGAGGACCCTCACTAGAACTCAACCATGAGGGCACCCTGATCTCGGGTTTCTAGCTTCAGAACTGAGAGAAATATATTGTTTAAGCCACTCATTCTATGGTAATTTGTTATAGCAGTCTGAACTGACTTAACCAGAGGATCTATTGTCATCTTTCCTTTGTTAGGACTATATTTTCTCTTTTCCCAGTATGATTTTAAAATGTAGCATGATGACCAAGAGCTTGTGGGGCTATCTCAGTTTCTCTGGACCCACTCTACAGAATGGCTAGTGACTTCTCGTCTAGATTGGTTCCCTAAAAATAGGTACAGGTCTCAGGTCTCTAAGCCTCACTTTACCCTGAGATAAAATTGAAGGAGGTTACTTTTCTCTAGAGTTGAGAAGCCCAGTTTTCCGAGGCTTATAACTAACCTCCAAAAGCCATATGCATGGGAAACAGAAATGGCTAAAGGGGAGACAAACACCTCCCAGCTCCCCATTGCTCCTCTCTCTATGGACATGCAGCAAAGACAATCCTTACTTGGCCCTGCAAGGTTCTGTGTTGCAAGGAACCTAATCATCTGCTATTCAGGACAGTTCCTGTTACAAGTTTTATTTCCAGGTGACACTATATAGAAGTGGACAAAATATAAAATGAAGAACAAACATAAGAAATGGATGCCAAAATTATTAACATAAAAAACCTGATAATTATAGTAGCTACTTATTTATCTAATTAACTCAAATGTTAGTGCTACTGGTTCAATTTGGTGAATTGCTCTTTGGATATCAATCCCATTGTTAGACAACAAGGTAAAAGTTGTCTGTTATGTTCTGGGGTGGGGACTTTCTTAAAAATATTTTTTGAATAGGATAGATAAATCTGAATGTACAATTTACAACACTAGATACAGGAGTACAATCTGAACTAATTCTGAAGCAAAGATGCCACAAATAGGCCTACAAAAAATTTTACAGTAGCAACCTGAGGTATGTTCTTGTGCTAGAAGTAATGAGTTTCCCCTTCTAATATTTTTAATGTTCATCCTTGCTTTCTTAAAAAGTTTGGGGTTTCTTTACACTTAATTTTAAAGTGGCCCATGCTCAATGTATTGATGTTCAGCCAGGCTTCCTTTTTCTTGAAGTATTTTGATATCAGAATCACGTCCAAAAGAGATTAGTTCTTTTTTATCTCCCAACCACACATTTCCCAATATAGTTTTAAAAAGACTAGATAAAATTCTTAACAAAAAAACCATATGTGTATGTGTGTGTGTGTGTGTGTGTGTGTGTGTGGCGTGTGTGTGTGTATTTCCTTTACTTGAACTATTTCAAAAACAAATATCTCATTATATATATATTATGTATATATATATATGTGTGTGTATATATATATACATATATATAAATAATATATATATATACATATATATATAAAATATATATATACATACATATATATAATATATATACATATATATATAATATATATATACATATATATATAATATATATATACATATATATATGTATATAATATATATATTGCAGTGCTGTTTTCTTGCAATTGCAATTTGACAAACACCCTTTAAAACTCTCACCATAGAAAAAAAAAAAAACACTCCAGAGGTCAACTTCAGTGAGACAAATAACCATTTTATTTAACACCTGCAATGCTTTCTGCTAAAAGAGAAATGTGCCTTTTATTTTTTCTGATATAAACAGCACAAAACAACAGAAACAATAATTTAAGGTCAGTATAAGCCAGCTTTGGCATATTGCTGGAGCTAATTCACATTTTGAAGGATGATTTAACTGCAGGAAGTAAAAATTAATAAAGCTCAGAGGTACTCTTGTCCAGAATAACACCCAAAACACAACAGGTGTCATTTATTTAAAGCTCTGTGTTAGCTTTAAGAGGGTGTCACCAAATTTCTTATGTTAAATTACCTGAGGCTAAGATGGTGAGTCTGGAGGAGATACCAAGCCTTCTAGAATGCGAATTGTAAGTTTAAAGAAAGGAATTGAGAATCAGTATTTAATAAAAAAATGTCAACTTTATCTTTGGACTAGTGACATAATTATTTTTCCTATTCATTTCTCTTGAGTTTGTAAGAAAAAGTACTGATTTCAAACCTGAATTCCTCCTTCCCTTAATCGGATGTCCTGTAGTGTTTTCTCTTCTATTATTAATTTATCAGACATTTATGATTTATAACCTGAATTAAGACAACCTTCTTCTAATGTGTCTTCTTGCTTTCAAGCCATAATCTTTCTAGTCCCTACACAGTGTTGCAGAGTGATCTTTATGTGAAAATAAGTATTGGCTGATCCTCTGCTTAAAATCATTCACTATATTCTCATTTCTTCAGAAAAGATACAGACTTTTGAGCCCAGAACAGGAGAACCATAATTATATGATCTTGGCCTTTTTGCCTCATCTCTAATCCACAACAAAAATAATTACATGCTCTCAGTGAAGACTGAACTGATATATCCAATTTCCTATACTTTGATGCACCAATGCATTTGACAATGCTCTCCCACACTAATTTTGGACTTAGTTGTTTGACTTTCTTTGACCAATGGGTCAAAGCCAAATGACGTAAGGAGAGCCTTGAAATGGCATTTGTACATTTCTTCTTCCATTCTTGAATTCTGAAGTAAATGCCCCAGTCTACCCTATAGGAGGCTGAAAATCATAGATTAAAGACTGTTGTCCTAGGAAGAGTATCCTAGATCAGTCCAAAGCAAGAAAACTACAAGATATGCTAATGTGTCCCAAACCGAGACCAGGAGGAATGCCCAGATGAGCCATACCAAAATCATTTTTGGATTTCTGGGCATTAGTAAATCATTCTCATTAAAGAATTTGAGTTTGACATGAAGCACTATTGAAGTAGGAGCTTATCAACACAGAAATTGTCATTGGACACAGAGGGTTTTCATAACAGAAAACCAATACTACATTGCATTGGCTTTTGGAATGGACAAAGACTAGAAAAGCACTGAGGAAGCTGCTAAAAATGTTATTTTGAGGTAAAAAAATTGGGATAATTGTCACCTACAGTGAGTTAGATAATCAAACAGGCATCTGACAAAATTATGGAATTGATTTTTTTTTCAGGAAGAAAGCGGAAAGTGTCATCTGACTTTTATAAAGTTGTTTGTGAGACAGAATGGTCAGCAGTTCCTGGGCTGTACCATAAAATCTCCTTCTCATCTCCAAACTCTCCTTGAGAAAATATTGCTCAAAATAAAATACTTGGAGACGAAGATCAAATCAAGAGTGACACTCCAAACTAGTCAAAAGGATGCTTAGAATACTAAAGGCATCATCCCACCCCCAATATTAAGGAATAAGTCTGGAGAGGAGACATGTCTTCAAAAAAAGTATTGATATGACACTCTAAGTGCGGAAAGGAATCTTATCCAACTCAGAGGAAACCTATGCAAATTTTGAAATGGCAATATTGGTGAAAGTGCCATTAGACTAGGTTAAATAAATTTGTACATTTCAAAATCTACAAAGATTTTGGGATCTACAACTTTATATGAGTAAGAAGCAGTCTGAGAAAGTAGCCAAAAAGATATATTTTCTAATGACCTTTAAAGAAGTGAAAAAAAATGTGGACAATGAACAAGTGTGCAGCCACGAGCTGTGAAGAATATTGGAATAGACAGTTCACTCCCATGGAAGGGGAAAGAATAACAGTCTAGGGAGCCACTTTGAAGGATTAATCAAGGAATATCCCCTTCTGAAATCTAGGGTAGTGAAAATTTGTAGCATGGTTATAACTGGATGCCAGAATCTTTTTTAAATGATTATACTTTAAGTTCTGGGATACATGTGAAGAACATGCAGGTTTGTTATACAGGTATACACGTGCCATGGTGTTTTGCTGCACCCATCAACCCTTCATCTAGGTTTCAAGCTCCACGTGCATTAGGTGTTTCTCTTAATGCTATCCCTCCCCTTGCCCCCCAAGCCACCGACAGGCCTCAGTGTTTGATGTTTCCCTCCCTGTGTTCATGTGTTCTCATTGTTCAGCTCCCACTTATTAGTAAGAACATACAGTGTTTGGTTTTCTGTTCCTGTGTTAGTTTGCTGAGAATAATTAGTATCTTTATTAAAGGTTGTGTGCATCCCAACCTTCTACTTTTTATGTGGGGTGGCCTACTGCAGCTATTTTGTATTTCTTTCATTATCATATGAGCATGTGAAGAGTTGGAGGATAGTTAACTTGTCTTTTTAGTTTATAGGTCCTTGGATAAAGGGAAGCTATATCTGGACCTCTTTTAAATGATGAGTTCCTAAGCTCTAAGTCCAGTGCAATGATGAATGATCATATGGATCATTGAAGGGGAATTGAATAGTAGTAACAGCTATTAAGCACACGGAAGAGATATAAATACCTGTGGCCAGAAGAAAGATTATGGAAAAGTGATTTGGTTAGGCTCCAATCTCTCACATATTCCTCCATTTATGCCTTTTGTATTGCCCTCCTACCTGGACTTTGGGTTTGGCCCCATGAGTTGTTTTGGCCAATAGACCAACAGCAAACTAGAAACAAACCTATGACTAAAAGCTGCTTGATGTTTATGCTTTCTCCACTCTTGTCTTCCCATTAGAATAACATTAGTTCCCATTAGACTTCTTGCCAGCTAGAGGTTGAGATATATGGAACAGAGATAGTCAACCGAGTTGAGACTATTCCAAATTAGCGCTACACATTTTAGCACCATATAAATACCCCCCAGTAATAGCATGGATTATTGCCCAGCCAAAGCCCTTTCAACCTGTAAACTTAGATCAATAGCAACAAATGGGTGTTTTAAGCCACTGAGTTGCCTGTTGATTGTTACCCAGCATTATTAGAATAGCCAGCTGATACACTCTCTGAAAATTGATTTCCTGCCAGCCTTTACATCATTATAATATGTGACCTAAGCTAGTAATCCCCAAATTGTCTTCATGACTATACAGTCTCTCCTCTCCAGCCTGCCATACGTATCAAATCAGTCATAAGTAGTGTCCACTGAATTCTATCTTTACAATATTTTTGAACTATTTTACTCCATACCCTGTTATTATTATAATTTATAATGTCATTATATCTAACTTATTTCTTAGTAACATTCAATTAATATACACTCCCTGTCTCTTACCTTTTATCATTAATATGCCAAGGAGAATGACCTAAAACATAGATTTTTTATCATGTCACTCTCAGGCTTCAATGCCTCTGGCCAAGCTTATAGTTTGGCTTGCCATTGGAAAGTCTTTTACAACTTAATGTATTGTGCAACTTCGTTTTCAGACATACTCAATCTTCCTCCATACTCCAGCATTTGCAAATTACTGCCTGCTTTCCAAATACACATGCCTTTTTTTTTTGTACCTATTTTTACGTCCACCTAGAAATATATCGTTAAACAGAGTAGCCATTAAGCACATGTGGCTATTTAAACTTCAATAAATTGAAATTAAATCTAACTTAAAATTCCCTTATTTATTCACACTACCCATATTTCAAATGTTCAATAGCCAGATGTAACTAGTGGCTACCATATTGGATATCACAGGTTGTGGAACATTTCCATTATTGCTGAAAATTCTATAGCTAATCTAGAAGTTTCTTCCTCGTGCTGATGGTGGTTCTATTGGGCTAGGTAGAGAGCTGTTGAGTCTAAACTCTATGAGCATTTTGTATGTGCATGTCATTATTCCCATTGCTAAGATATAGATAAAAATAGAAAAAATTAGGAATTGTCAGTCTCAGATTGATCCTTTTGCTAGGCTTCAAAATGATTAATGAAGAAACTAGTTATATGGAAGTACATAGGAGGTAACTAATGGGTTTTATGTTATGGTATTCTTTGAATTGGGGTTTACAGTAATTCAGTCGTATTTTAGTACTACTAGTTTTCTCTAATTATCTTTTAGAGAATTATAATAAGTTGTAGTTACTGTTGTGTTCATTTACTATTGTGATCAATATCCAATGTCATTAGACCTCCCAAAGCTATCATATCCAACCCTCATCCTATCTAGAATTAATGCCTATTTATATACCTATGTTATAATTTTGCTTTATGTATTGTATTGAGATCATATATTGGTTGAATTCAATAGAATTTGAAGGAAGTCAAAAATTACTTACTAGTCCTAATGAGGTTCTACAGAAAAAAAGTGGATTAAAAGTAACTGAAACAATGCTTGATTTTAGACACACATACAAATACATACACACATACAGTGTTGATAAAAATATGTAAACTTTCAATACTAGTTTGCTGACTCTAAATAAGAAGGATTGCAGTTGAGATGTCCTTCAGAAAAATTTATATTTCAAAAGAGGCTGGCAATTTTTATTTTATATGGATGAATGTTGTTGAAGGATTTCAGCAACCTACAGAACTTAAGGGATATTTCATAAATAGAAATGTCTTCCTAGAGGCCTTCCAATCACAATATAAGAAGTCCTTCTGCTAGGATGAAAATAGATCTTGAAATAAACTTTGACATGGCCTTATCCTTCTAAACATGCAATACAGGCCTCAAAACACACAAATCAAAAATTCCATTTAAGGAATTTCTAAAAGTATAGGTACATTTTAATTCCTTTATTCCTGCCAATGGACTTTTTTTATTTCTTAAATGTGGCTACATTTTAGAAAGAAAGGTAAACCAATGGAATATATTGCATCACATTATGTGCTGCAGAAGCATTCATCCATTACTTGATAAAACAAAGACTTTCATAGGTAGTCTTTAAGAAATATAATCAATTAAATTGTTAATGAGAGTAGCAATTATGTAGCAATATTCTGGGAGGAAAATTAAGTGCTCTGTTTTACACAACAAAATATCAGAAAAAAAATCACCAATGAAAGAGACTTAAATCACACACACACACAAATGAACAATTCCAGACACAGGTACTTTAGTACATAATGTATCTGCGTTTGCTTTTTTAATTGTACTTTTTGCCTAAACCTATGCATAGCATTTTTTTCCCTGAAATTCCTTTTTTTTCTCCCTGAAATTCCTCTTTTTTTCTGTGTATCCTATATTTGGCATTCAAAATCATAGTTATATTTGGAGACATTTAATCTCTTGTACAATAGTCTGTGTTATTTAAAGAAAGGGCATATCTGTTTTTCAATTATTTTTTAACATTTGTGGATACATAGTAGGTATATATAGTTATGGGTTACATGAGATATTTTGCTATAGGCATGTAATATGCAATAATTACATCATGAAAATGTTGATGGGCATTCATCCCATCAAATGTTTATTCTTTGTCTTAGACACAATCCAATTATACATTTGGCTATTTTTAAATATGCAATTAAATTATAATTGACAATAGTTCCCCTGTTGTGGTATCAAATACTAGGTATTATTCGTTCTTTCTAATTATTTTTTGTACACTAATCATCCATACCTCCCCATACCCACACCACTATACTACCCTTCCCAGCCTCTGTTGACCATCCTCCTATTCTCTATCTTCAGGAATTCAATTGTTTTGATATTTAGGTTCCACAGATAAGCGATAACATATGATGTTTATCTTCCTGTGCCTGGCTTATTTTACTTAACATAATAACGTTTAGTTCCAACTGTGTTGCTGCAAATGACAAAATTTCTTTTTCTTACGCCTGAGTAGCTCTCCACTGTGTATATGTATCACATTTTATTTATCCGTTTATCTGTTAAGGGACACTTACATTGCTTCCACATCTTGGCTATTGTGAACAGTGCTGCAACAAACATGAGAGTGCAGGCATCTCTTTGATACACTGATTTCCTTTCTTTGGATATATGCCCAGCAGTGAGATTTCTGGATCATATGGTAGCTTTATTTTTAGTTTTTAAGGAACCTCCAAACTGCTTTCAATCATGGTTGTATTAATTTACATTTCCATCAACAGTGTACAAGGGTTCCCTTTTCTTCACATCATCACTGGCATTTGTTGTTGCTTAAATTTTGGATAAAAGCCATTTCAACTAGGGTGAGATGATATCTTATTGTAATTTGGATTTGTATTACTCTGATGATCAATAATGTTGAGTACTTTTTAATATACTTATTTTACATTTGTGTGTCTTCTTTTGAGAAATATCTATTTAAATCTTTAGCCAGTTTTTTTGATCAGATTATTTGAATTTTCACTATAGAATTGTTTGGGCCTCTCATGTATTCCCATGATTCATCCCTTATCAAATGGGTAGTTTGAAAATATTTTCTCCCATTTTGTTGGTTGTCTCTTCAATTCGTTGATTGTCTCCTTTGCTGTGTAGAAGCTTTTTACCTTGATGTGATCCCATTTGTCCTTTTTTTTTTTTTTTTTTTTTTTTTTTTTTTTTTTTTTTTTTTTTTTGTAACACGGGCCTATGGGCTATAATTACTCAAGAAATTTTTGCCACAACCAATGTCCTGGAGAATTTCCCAGAATTCTCTTGTGGTAATTTTATATTTTGAGCTCTTTGATTTAAGTATTTAACCTATTTTGATTTTCTTTTTGTATGAGGCCCAAGGTCCTTCTGCTATAGCCTAGGGATATCCCAGCCACTCTATCCATGACTAAAAGGGGCCAAGGTATAGCTTGGGTCATGGTTTCAGAGGGTGCAAGGGGCGTATTGAAATGTGAGGCCATGAGATTTGGGAGTGGCCAAGGTGGAATGATATGGTTTGGCTGTGGCCCCACCAAAATATCATCTTGAAATGTGGCTTCCACAATTCTCATGTGTTATGGGAGGGACACAGTGGGATGTAATGGAGTTATGGTGTGAGTCTTTCCCACGCTATTCTCATGATAGTGAATAAGTCTCATGAGATCCAATGGTTTTATAAAGCAAAGTTTCCCTGCACAAGTTTTCATTTCTTGTCTGTCACCATGTGAGACATGTCTTTCACCTTCCACCATGATTGTGAGGTCCCCTGCTGAAGCCACATGGAACCATGAGTATATTAAACTTCTTTCTTTTGTAAATTGCTTATTCCTGCATATATCTTTATCAACAGCATTAAAACATACTAATACATATGGCTTGTATTATACTGAGATATGTTCCTTTTGAGCCCAGTTTTTCTAGGGTTTTCATCATGAGAGAATGCTGAACTTTATCAAATGCTTTCTCAACATCAATTAAAATGGTTACATGATTTTTGTCCTGCAGTCTGTTGGTATGATGTATCACATTAATTGATACATATGTGTTGAACCATCCTTGCATACCTGGGATAAATCCCACTCGGTCATGATGAGTAATCTTTTTAACATATTGTTGAATTTTGTTTGCTAGTATTTTGTTGGGGATTTTTGCATCAATATTCATCAGAGATATTGGCCTATAGTTTTCAGTTTTTAATGTCTTTGATTTTGGTATCACAATAATGCTGGCCTTATATAATGAGTTTGGAAATATTTCCTCTTCCTCTATTTTTTATAACAGTTTAAGTAGGCCAGTGGGAAGGGCATATGTTTAAACAATTATACTCTTTGTGTTTCTGTGCTTCATGCATCTGAGAACATAATATAGACATAAATAGCTCTTTAATTTAACTAACATTTATTGAGTTTATGCAGCTGAACTTTCAGCTATTTATGTCTATATAATGTTAACTTTCATGTTATCAAAGTTAGACTCTCTTCAATAAAAGTACTATAGGGTAATGATTAAGAACAAACATTGGTG